CGTCTTCTTCAAGTAATTTCAAAACAGGGAAAGCACATTCCTATTAATTTGTTTAAAACTGTGCCTTTGTTTGTATTTGTTATTATTTGTTTGATTATCTTTTTTATTAGCTTCTTTTGATCATAAACATTCACGTGCAACATTAATAAACGTTTTGTTTGCTCAATTCTGGGAATTTTACTAAACATTTCTAATAATTTGGTACGCTCAAATCACCGTGCTGATAACAAATATGGCGCCAGTTTGTTTACATTGCGCAGATCAGTACGAAAATTTCAGTGATTGCGCAGGTCAACATTGTGTGAAAATTTTGTGTGAATTGATTGGACGGTTTTGAAATATTAGAAAAAAGTTATCTCGATAATAATTTGGCACGCAGTGTATATATATATATATATATATATATATATATATATATATATATATATATATATATATATGGGTATATATATTATATATCGGAGATCCGTTATACGGCGCGATATATTATATATTTTTCTAATATAGTTGGAACTCATCTACATATCCAAGGAAAACGAGTCTTCGAACTTACGCTTGGGGTCATAATGAAACAAGGTTTTAAAAAAAACAAAAAAAAAAAAAAAAAAAAACGACACAAACGAGAGATAGCAAATGTTTTATAAACCAATATGGCGTAATTAATTGAAAAAACAATCAAAATTGAATCTAATATAGCGCATATGACGATAAATATTTATATATGGCGCTGTAACCACGAAACATAACCGTGTGTCTGTTCCGATTATATTTGAATAAAATTATAAACATAAAGTGTTGTGAATAAAATATATATATATATATATATATATATATATATATATATATATATATATATATACATACATATATATATATATATATATATATATATATATATATATATATATATATATATATATGCTTCATTAAATAATATAGACAAGTGTTGTCTATTTTATATAAATTCTTTTCATAACGTCTGATAATTTAATAACATTATCATTAAAACGAAGAAAGAAAATCACAATATTGATACATATTTTTTAATCCAAATCTAAGCTTTAAAAGGCTTACATAAGCAAATTATCAAAGATGACAATTACTGCAAATATATTAAGCAATACACGGACAAGAATGTAATGATAGTCTGTTTCTGTTTACATGGATGATTTCAAGCAACGATGGAAACACGTGCATATAAGACGGTGGAAGCGAAATCGCACCGCAGATCATGATGTCACACATGACCACGCGATATAAAATTGATTTGAGAGAAGTATTAAGAAATAAACCAATGGCTTTTGTTAAAATTATAGACATTTAAGAATATTTATGGAGATTTATAGTTTATTTTGTTTAGGTTAGGTTTCAACTGTTTTATGTATATAGCTTCAAGAATTGAACACCATAAATGTATCTCCTCGGTTAAACTACTGGAGAGTGAAAGATTAATTTAATTTCAAAAAAGCAGAATACTTAAAAAAATATTGTGGGCTTTTCCCGTAATTAAAATATTGAATGTAACCAACACTAAATTCACATTCGCCTAAAAAGAAAATTAATATAGGTCATGGCAATATTTTCTGCATATAAAACCGAATTTCCTCTTTAAAATTATACAGTATTTGTAAATTATTTTTTATGTATCGAAAAATGACGTTCGACTTTCCTAAGAAAAAAAAATAGAAGGAGATGGAAGCTAATTTAACATAATATTAAACAGTTATATGTTCGTTCAACTTCTTACATAAAATTTTTATTGTTGATAAATAAAAAGCCATTTTAAAAAACTATTAAATAAATAATCGTTCGAAAAAAAACCCTGATCAAACATATAGAAAACAATTTTGATAAATTTTTATGCAGTCGTTAAATAAAAGTAACCAGATAAACTTGTTTTTAATAATAGCAACTAATCAATTTAAGAATATATTAATAATACCAACTAAACACTTTGCATCCACAAAAGATTTTATGATATTAATAAAGCATCAATAAAAGTAATATTAAATCAAAATGAATCTTACAAATCGAATAGTTTAAAAATAAGGTGCACTGCAGTTCATCTACTGATTATTACTATAAGAAAAGTATTATCAAATTTAAAGTTTAGACATATTTAATGTAAAAGGTAGGCTATGCCTACAATTTATATGTCAATTCTTTCTTTTTTTAATAAGGAGGTTTTATCAGAAAATCTGGTAATTTCTAATTTTCATTTAAGCATAAAAAACTGGGTTCATTTAAAGATTAAAACTATTTTTTTTTTTTTTTTTTAAATTCCATTAACACAGGAGTTTTTTCAGCTTTATTATTTTAAATTTAAAAATATTTAAAAAGGTATGTTATATTTCTATAAGCGCTATTGGTGAATGATAAGATATATTGATACCAATTTACTATTAAAAAAATTTTAGTACTATCAATATAAAATTTTTCAACAGTCAGATTCTCTATTGTAGAAATAGTACTTAAAAAAACAAGAGAGTTGGTTAAACAAGTGGTTTGGTAATGAATATTTATTAGAATCCTTACAATTAGATTGGTTAATATTATTAACAGTATTTATCTTGCAATGTGTATTATTTTCCAAATTTTTAAATTGGTTTAAAATTTTATTATTATTTTTCTTTATAATTTTCTCAAGATTATCGGTACAGCTTTAACTTAGTTTTATCCAATTTTTTTATTTTAATCAAGGCACACACTCATTCAAGGTGTTGAATAAATAATGATGGGACACATTTTAAATGCAATTAAATGTTGGATATATAAAATAACATATATATACCAAATATATTTATTACATAACTGATTTTTTAATGAATCAAACATATCTAAAATTTGAATTTTAAATCCTTAAAATGGTCACCACCATGAAAGACCGTGAAAGCTAAAACTCTTTCCTAAATAAATACAGTAGGGCTTAAATATCAACTTGTTCATTTTTTGTAGCTCTTAATGAATTTATTTTTGTGATTTATCCGAAACTGTGTTCGCCCATCCCTTTACTAAACCCACTAAGAAATATGCGCTGTTTTCCTGTCACTATTGCCTTCAGTCTGTTTAATCCTGAGTATCAGATTTTCCAAGTCATCTTTCCTTCATTATGTCCCCAACCTCAAGCTGTCTCTTCCTGATGTTAAGCAAAAAAATTTCCTTTTTGTTTCAATTTTCACCAAAACTTTGTCGTTGTTCACATATTCAATCCACGGTATCCTCAGCATCCTTCAGTAGAAAAAATTTCTGTTCCTTCAAACCAAATCATTATCTTTGAGGAGATTGTAAAGCATTCACTGCCATATAGGAGGATAGATATGTCAAAATACAGTTCTTTTCTTTGTTTCTAATGAAGTTTTTTTGTTTCCCATACTCTTTTAGCATTTGGGATGCATCTTTGGCTATCCCAATGCACTTTCGGATTTCAGGGCCTCCCTTTCCGTCGTCTGTTAAAAAAGATATTTCAATTTTTGAACTTGTTTGATTTTGTTATTTCCAATTTTGTAATTTGTATTTTGGGCTCAAATATTTTGCTAATATCAATTCAATCTGTCTTTTTTTTGCAGTTGATGTTTAATCCTTTTCTAAAATAAAATTTCCTTCACTATTTGTATTTTTCTTTATCTTGTCTGCTATCAGCACTGTGTCATCTTACGTTGTTAAGATTGATAAACTGCTTTTATAATGAATTCTGATAAGACTTCTAATCCTCTCAGAATCGTCTCGTTGAATAAGTCCGGCGAGACAACACATCCTTGTTTTGACACCTTTTTTGTTTTTGTATATCTGTTGAACTCCTTTTCTATCCGTATACAGAGGGTGCAATAATAATCTAGTGAAAAATATTGTTAAAGTCTAAACATTAGAAAAAAGTAACGAAATGTATAATTTTTAAAAGATCGATTAAGGTTTTTAAAATTTAAAATATCAAAGATCACATTTAACTTTAAAATAAAATAATGATTTGTGGAAAGCTATCGGGCAAATTGTATTAACCAAATATTCTATGGCCTATATATTTTGGATTTAATTATAAAACAAAATTCATTTTGCCTTTGAATAATAAATATTGATGTCATCCCACCAAAAGTTATTAATACATAATTTTAAAATGAGGATAAATATTATAATGAGAAATTCATATGATATATTGTTCATATAAATATTATCTTTTAAAATTTTTATCAACATATTTTGGTTAATAACAATTTTATTGTGAAAAAACATTGATTTGCATAATAAATTCTGACATAGTGTAATAAATAATAAAAATGTGATTATAGGAAATGTAATAGATTTTTAGGATAGTAGAAAAGAAAAGAGAGAGAAAGAGAGAGAGAGAGAGAGAAAGAGAATAATTAAGAAAATAAAAGAAAAAAAAAAGAACTAAAAAGGAAGACTTTATGGCGATGCGTTTTGATAACATTCATGTATTTTTGATGTAGCCCAGATTTTCTCATTAAAAGATAATATGCCATTTTACCCATTTCATTATTATAATAGTGACGTGCAATTCACTGATACTGGCGACCTGTTTTTCAATTAAATTCGCCCTGGCCACCCGATAATAATGACAACGTATACTTTTAACCCTTAATAGCATTACAAATTTTTACAAAGCTACGATTACCTCCTTGTCTCCCATTGTGATTTTATTCATTCTTAAATTTATTCATTTTTTGTAGGTTTCATAATATCGCCTTTTCTTTTTTTTTTTTTTTTTTTTGTTTTAAAAAAGAGGACAGATGTTTTCTTAATTCCTTTTTTTCTTCAATTGCTTTCTTTTTTTTTCTTTTACTTGTTTTTCTTTTTTTTTTTTTTTTTAACTTATTTTCATCCATTTTAAAAATTCCTATTTTTTTCTCTTTTCACGATCCTTTTAATCACTTATTAATTTCATTCTCTCTCCAAAACATTGTTCTTCCACCAATTCATTGTTCTTACGACAACTTTCTAATGAACCAAACGTCTAATTAACTTCAAGGAATTTTTATTCGGGTATGCTTATCTGCTCTATCAAGTGAGATAAATGGATGGATAAAAACTATTATAGGAAAATCGAAATATGTATAAATAGACAAAAAAAAAAAGCTATAAGAGACCATCAAAGTGATGCATAAAATAACTGATGGAGGGCCATGCAAATTGAATAACGGGATGAAAATGCGAGAGATCAGTTGATAAATACTAAACTGACATAAAATCGATAGATGAAAGAAATTACTGCCACAAATGTATTTACATCCCTAAAGACTGATATTTAATTTAAAAAAATACTTAAATATTATTTTAAAGGCAAAAGAAATCATCTGACGAAATACTGTGATAAAAATATAGAAGTAAAAACAGCGATAGGCATACTCATTAAAATAATAAATAGAAGAGTTATTTATTATATATATATATATATATATATATATATATATATATATGTGTGTGTGTGCGCGCGCGCGTGTGTGTTTGTATAAACATTCAGATATAAATAAAATATATCTGTAAAAACAATATGAGTAAATAAAAAAAGGAAAACTTTTTTTAACAACGCGTTTCACCCTCTGATGGACTTTATCAAGGCAAACGTAAGGATTCTTTTTTTTCCATTTAAAACAGAAGTAAAAAATACCGTTAGATTTAAAAACGTTTAGGCATTAAATTACATCACTTAGCATCTTCCATAGTTTACTTTGAATTTCACAGTTAGTATTATATTTTTGAGTGTTCTCAAATTTAAAAATGAGGAGCAAACGTTATGAAAGAAAAAAAGAATAAAAAAAAAACAAATGGACAATAACAGCTATTTCGGCATCATGACGGATAGGACGCTTGACGTCATCCGAATAACATTGAGGATTCTTTTTGGGATTTTATCAAGAATATCTAAATAATTATCTGGAGCACTGGAGCATATGTAGCAGCAATATTCAAAACAAGGGCGAATGGTAGACTTATAAATATGAAAGATAGATTCTGGCGAGAGAAATTGTCTGGTACGACATAGTGAAGCTATTTTCTTAGATTCAGACTTAGAAATTGATTCAACTGATTTCCACTTCATAGCTAAAAACATTAGTCCGAGAAGCCGCAATGAGTCACTGCCCTGGACGATAGCATCAGCCATATTGATAGAAGTTAAAATGGGTTCCATCAGATGATTAAAAAAGAGCAGTTTCGTTTTTAAGGTGTTAAAATTAACAAGTCATTTAACAACAGATTTTAGGTCATTTTTGGGATCAGCTGCCAATATGACTTTATCGAATCAATCAGACTTACTATTAAGACAGGAGTAAATAGTTGTGTCGTCAGCATACGTACCGAGTTGAGAACTGGTGACATCAGGAAGGTCATTTATGAAAATTACAAACAACTTCAGTTGGTTTTTAACCAAACTTGTATGTATGGCGATGATCGCTTAAGGCGTTAAACTGCCATTCACTATGTTGGTCTGTTTTTAATTTTCATTAATGACCTACCCGATTACATCAGTTTGGTATCTATACTGATGACACAGCCATTTACTCCTGCCTTGATAGTAAAGGTGATCAGTCCAACAAGGTCACAATGGCAACTGATGTCCAAAACGACCCCAAGTCCGTCGTTAATTGGGGCAAAAGATGGCTTGTTAATTTTAACGACTCTAAAACTAAACTTCTCTCCATTAATCATCTGAGAGATCTCAGCATGGCTGATGCTAACCACCATGAAAGCCTTCTCGAGCAAATGTTCTTTGTTGATATGAAGTGGAAAGACTATATTGGATCTATTGCTAGGATAGCTGCCAGCAAAGTTGGTTCACTGTATCAGGCAAGATAATTTTTCTTTCCAAAATCTATCTTACATATCTATAAGTCTACCATTCGTCCATGCTTAGAATATTGCTGCCACATATGGCCCTGTACCCCTGCTATTTACCTTGAGCTCCTTGATAAAATCCAAATAAGACTCAGCAATATTACTCGTTCTGATGTGGCAACCCAGCTCCAATCACTTTCCCATTGCCATAAGGTTACCTCTCTCTTTTCTATAAATACTTTCATGGTAATTGTTTGGATGAGCTCTTCGCTATGGTTCTTAGACGTTTTGAATTTAAGCGCAGTACTAGACAGGCGTCAAGATCTCATCAATTTACAGTTGAGCTGGATAGATGTAGCCGTAATTTCTATGCTAACAGTTTCTTTTCTCGCACTTCTATCTTGTGGAACCCCTCCGGCTCCCTGTTTTCCATCCGACTTTAATGTATAAAAATTTTAATGCAATGTAAATCGCTATCTACTCTCCTAATTACTCTTTTATCTTTTATTAATGTTTCTCTTCCTACTTCTTCCACACTCAGTAACCCTTTGAGTCTTAGTGGCTTTACTGGTTTGCATGGGATGATAATGATTAAAAAAATACCGTGATAAATATTTTTGGGGTGATGTACAATCATATGTCAAGAGAGATTTTTTTAAGAAATAGAAGAGAAATAAACTCTAAGAACAGCTGTTTCTCTTTTGGAAATATAAGTAGTTAATTTATCATTTTCTCAAAATATTCGAATTTAGGAGTTATGAAAAAAAGAGGAGATTGAAAGTACACAAAATATCAATGGTTATAAAATCTTCCATTTCAGGACAACACTTTTCAACGGCTACAAAACAGCCCTTTTCAGGACAACGCTCTTCAACAGCTACAGAACTGTCCTTCTCAGGACAATGCTCTTCAACGGGTACAGAACTGTCCTTTTCAGGACAACGCTCTTCAACGGCTACAGAACTGTCCTTCTCAGGACAATGCTCTTCAACGGCTACAGAATTGTCCTTTTTAGGACAATGCTCTTCAACAGCTACAGAACTGTCCTTCTCAGGACAATGCTCTTCAACGACTACAGAACTGTCCTTCTCAGGACAATGCTCTTCAACGGCTACAGAACTGTCCTTTTCAGGACAATGCTCTTCAACGGCTACAGAACTGTCCTTTTCAGGACGACGCTATTCAACGGCTACAGAACTGTCCTTTTCAGGACAATGCTCTTCAACGGCTACAGAACTGTCCTTCTCAGGACAATGCTCTTCAACGACTACAGAACTGTCCTTTTCAGGACAACGCTCTTCAACAGCTATAGAACTGTCCTTTTCAGGACAATGCTCTTCAACGGCTACAGAACTGCCCTTTTCAGGACAACGCTCTTCAACGGCTACAAAACTGTCCTTTTCAGGACAACGCTCTCCAACGGCTACAGAACTGTCCTTTTCAGAACAATGCTCTTCAACGGCTACAGAACTGTCCTTTTCAGGACAATGCTCTTCAACGGCTACAGAACTGTCCTTTTCAGGACAATGCTCTTCTCACCCTTACATGAACATGCAGAGATATTATTTCGTCATTCAATATTTGTTTGCGGGCCAATATACCACCGGCAACATCTCAAATATATTTCTTTCTTTCTTTTTAAAGAAGAGTAGATAAAAAGAAAGAAAGAAAGAAAAGAAAAGTAGATACTTTTCTTTTCTTTCTTTCTTTTTTTTTTGCTTTCTTTCTTTTCTTTTTTTTTTTCATTCTTTCTGTATTTTTCTAGGTATAGTGACTAAAACATTGACCCCCTAGTAAAATTTCAGAAATTTCGAATTATTAAAACATATTTTAAATTAGTTATGTGCCGCGCGCGGCCCGTTAGGCTTTCTGAATGATACACCGAATTTCATGAGGAAAATAATGTATATTAATTTTTTGTTTCATTTCGTTTTTCCTTGCTCACCCACATTTATATCACCGCATGCAACAATAATTAAAGACAATGTTTTTTGAATTTTGTAATTTTTCGTTGAAGATTACGGTTTCATCATTTTAAATCATTGTCAGTTTTCCCTAAGGAAGATCATGCGTATAAATATCATTTGCTTTAGAAACAGGGCGTTCATAGCTTTTTTTCTTCTTTAGAAGAAATACATAAAAAGTATTTTTAAAAATTACTTCTTGTATTTTCAAATGAATAAATAAGAAACAAATCCCGTGAAGCAGTATGTGTTAACTGTCATTTCTTAATATTATATTGAGACTTCATTTTTTAATTACTGAGAAATCTTTTCTCTAAAAACAATCAACCTTTCCTTATTTCTAAGGCAGATGACTACGCGTATGTTCTTATGTAGTGAAAACGGTCGAGGAAAAAAAAAATTATCTTGAATCTTTTTAGTAGTGTGGCCCGCCTTATGATGGACCATATCTGACGTGACTCACCGGTCAGAAAAGGTTACCCATGCCTGTTTTAAAACCATGTTCTCCGTAAAAAAAAAAAAAAAAATCAACACGTAAACAAACAACCAAACAGAAAACGTGTTCCGCAAACTTACAAATTTCCTTTCAGTGTTCACATTATTGTTAAATCAGAGATCTACGTTCAGTCTAATAGTCTTTCTTTCTTTCTTTCTTTCTTTCTTTCTTTTTTTTCTTTCTTTCTTTCTTTCGTTCCTTCCTTCCTTCGTATTTGGGCGAATTACTTTCCGTCATTATTTTATCTGCCTAGGCAATAGAAGCATTTAAAAGGCGTTACTCCTATAGGCAATTTTGAGATAATCAAGCCATCAAAAGTATTAGCGTATATAATATGATAATGGTTGGCTGAAATAATTAACATTCTTTTAAGAAAAGAAAACGAAATTTCCCCGAACCCCAATCTATCTCAGAGAAAATATAAGCTTAATACTAATGGAGGCAAACATGGAAAACACCGGAAAATACCAGATCAATTGAGAAAGGCATGAAACTATCACACTGCGTTCTGTTCCACCGTCAGATAATCTAACATTCGACAAAAAATCGAAAACGTTACCAGCAATCTTGCATATTTACAATATTGTGAAATCAGAGATATTCACGGCATCAAAATTTTATATTTTTCTATACTTGTTTCATAATGAGTTATTTGTTTCTTTATTTCCAGCTGTATGTGCGGGTGGTGTAATAGGTATCGGCTTGGGATGAAAAAATGAAGCGCCGAGTTCGAATTCCAGCTGAGTTCGTTACGCGCAAATACCCTTGGGAAAGATATGAATCCATCTCTTCTCCTTCAGATTTGTATTTGTAAAATTATTGCACTGCTCACTCGCAAAAAAGAAGGAATTATTCGTAGAATCCAATATATGCTTCGACTTTAAAAGCAGTTGATAAGCAGTAAAAATCATAAAATTATCAATTCATCTCAGTTTGTTCATATCTATCTATCTATCTATCTATCTATCTATCAACCTGTTCATATCTATCAACCCATTCAAAACTATCTATGTGTTCATATCTATCAATCAACTTGTTCATAACCTGTTCATATCTATCTATCAACGTGTTCATATCTGTCAATCTGTTGATATCAATCAACCTGTTCATATCTGTCTATCAACCTGTTCAAATCTATCTATCTATCTATCTATCTATCTATCTATCTATCTATCTATCTATCTATCTATCTATCTATCAACCTGTTCATATCTATCAATCTATTCAAATCTATCTATGTGTTCATATCTATCAATCAACTTGTTCATATCTTTTAACCTGCTCATATCTATCAATCTGTTCATATCTATCTGTTCATATCTATCTATCAATCTGTTCATATCTATCTATTCATATCTATCTGTTCATATCTATCTATCAATCTGTTTATATCTATCTATTCATATCTATCTGTTCATATCTATCTATCAATCTGTTCATATCTATCTATTCATATCTATCTGTTCATATCTATCTATCAATCTGTTCATATCTATCTATTCATATCTATCTGTTCATATCTGTCTGTTCATATCTGTCTATTTATGGTACCAGAAAACGTAACCGCCATATTTAATCAGGAAATTTTCTTTACAAAATAACTACTATTTCCTCTTCAGATTTCAATTTCCCTAATTTACAATTAGACACAATTCAGTAATTTTTTCTCCCACTTCCCAATTGGAACAATTCTTTCTTTTCAACTTTTAAATAACAGATCGCAATCAGCCCTTCTTTCTCTCATTTACAGATCTAACCTAAGCTTATATTCCACATCATTCGACTTCCATATTCGATAGCCACGCGCGCTACCCATTTTTCGCTCTCTCTAATTCGTTCTTTCTGCCCACCAAGTCAAGTGCGGGTCGTTGATTTGAAACATATGACCCAAACGTCAGCCTCCTTCTTCCCCAAGCCACTATTTACCATAATTTTTCTATCTAATCATCTAGTTACACCTTTTTTCTTTCCTTCTCTTACAATGCGTTTGACGTCACATGACCAAAGGGCGCGAACGCGGCCTGGATACGGTCATAACTTGACAGTCAGAAACTAAACCCTTCGATTAAAAGGGGATAAATTTATGTTTGTCTCGATCACCCTCACCTTTACCCTGCCACTGACTCTAATTTCATATCATACCCCATTGCTAACCGATCTCTGGTCTTTTGACTTCATTCAACCCCATCATTTCAAGCTACCATTGCAATGACATCCCCCCCTTACGGAGCAATCATATTTCACATATGACAATGCAACATAACACAGATTTATTTCATCTCCAAAACACCAGTTATTGGCTTTTTTAATTTCTTTCTTTCTTTTTGATGTGATAGAAATGAAAAAGGGACGAGGATAATGAAAAAAGGGCGGAGGGGATGGAAAATGCTGAGAGCAGAATTTAGAAATAGGCAGCAATAAAAGGAAAGAAAAAATATTGTAAAAAGAAAATATGAAAAGAATAAAAGTTGAAAAATTGATGAATATGTAATTGATTTCACGATATGAAAAGAAGGAAAATATATAAAGAAAAAGAGAGACGAAAAGGAAGGTGAAAAAGAAAGAAGAAAAAGAAGGCGAAAAAGGAAGGGGAAGAAAGAAAGAAAGAAGAAGAAGAAGATGAAGGAAGGCGAAAAAAGGGAGAAGAAAAAGGAAGGCGAAAAAAGGGAGAAGAAAAAGGAAGGGGAAGAAAGAAAGAAAGAAAGAAAGAAGACGAAAATGAAAGAAAAAGGAAGTCGAAAAAGAAGGAAGAAAAAAGAAGGCGAAAAAGAAGAAAAAAGAAAACGTGAAAAATAGTGAAAATTGGTCGAAAAAGATGGTAAAAATAAAAAAGCAAAAAATCAAGAATGAATGAAGGACGAAAATGGAAGAACCAAATGAATGTGCGTGTGTTCGTGATTGAAAGACTTATTGGTCAATTATCGGACACCTTATATATATATATATATATATATATATATATATATATACACACATATGTGTATGTGTACATATATATATATATATATATATATATATATATATATATATATATATATATATATATATGGTCAGGTGATTAAAAATTTGGATAATTGAATAAGTAAAATTGAAGAAAAAGAAGAAAAAAGTCATTTCCTGAAAGAAAGTTGGTATTGACATCTTCAGATTAATTTCCAATTGCTTAGTTCAACGTTTTGTTCAGTTAATTTAAAAAAAATAAAATATGTATCAATCTTTGTCCGTTTCCATCTGGTCTCATGTTAAATGACTTCGCTATATGCTGAGTAAGCAAAAAGACCATCCAATATCCAACTGAAGCATGGTTCACGTGCGTTACACGCATCTGAGAGTGGCATATGCTATAATCTCTGGCCAAGATGTGATAATTAAATATATGTTTTTCGTAAGAAAACAAGGGAGAAATTAATAAGAATCAATTGAACTGATTTTATCAGCGGTTTTTTAATCAAAGTTTGAGTGTGGCCTTGCGAATTTTGAAAACGCTTGTCTGAAATGAAATATTAGAATAATTTTGTTTGAATAACAGAAAATGTTCGGATGATTTCAGATTTCTCTTCATTTCCCGCCCGAATAATCAAAGTCTGCAAAATTGAGACATAGACAACCAGGAGACTAAGACAGATAGATAAGATGGAGCTAGACAACGAAGAGACTAATAAAGACAGATAAGATGGAGCTATATAACAAAGAGACTAATACAGATAGATAAGATGGAGCTAGGCAACGAGGAGACTAATACAGATGTCAGTGAATGATATTATCTAATGTCAGGTAGCAGTCTTCGTATTAGTTGTGTGGCATATAAAATTGAGATAGCTATTACACTAGCAAAACAAGCGACTATTCTCTTTCTATGAAGATTGTACATCAGAAGAAGGCTTCAGAATGCATCGACCGAAAGCAACAAAAGAATGAATTAAAAATAACTCTTTTGAAAAATAAAATAATATCGTAGCGAAAGTAGCCATTGCTGGGATCGAACAAGTATTGATTGATTGAACCTCGCCAGGAAAAATTATTAATTTTTACTCAGCTTTTCTATTTTCTCTGTAAAACGAAATGACAAGAAATAATTTAAGCTACAAAATGTCGAATATTTTTCATATTTTTGTCTGGTTTCTTTTTTGATGCCCATAAGTAAACCATCCATCAACATTCAGTACTTAAACGTAAATAGGTCGACGGCCATATCACGTTCTCATACGATCACCAAAGTTAAGCAAGATCAAGCCTATGAGCGAGCCCTATAGATGGATGACCACTTAGGAAGGCCAGGTTCTGTAAGCTTGGATGTGCGGATAGTGTAATGTATGACGGCTCGCAATTGGAAATCGGAGAGCCGAGTTCCAATTTCAGTCGGATTCGTTATATTCATCTACGCGCAAATACCCTTGAAAAATATATGAATCCACCTCTTCCCACCAGCTATGGTTTAATTAGTAGGACTTGTATCAGTATATTATTATCTTCAAAAATTTCTTATAATCTAAAAATATTTTCTGGCTTTAAATACCCTGCAAAGGGTTGATAAACCGTAAAAAATCTATGTATATTTCAAGGTAAATAATAAAACTTAATTTCAACATTTATTTTTTTTTACTTTTAAATCTTTATTTTTTAAAAGAAATATGTTTCAATTTTATTATAGTGCTTGTTTTTTTTTTTTAAAGTAACATCAAGAAAACAAGTACAATTTTTCCAATCTTACGAACCTAATTTAAAATTACGTTCCGGAGTACTTTGTAACAACAACAGTAACAATGATGATGATGATGATGATGACATCAAAGCTGTTTTGTTCGGAGAACCTTCGGCAAGCTGTTGAGAACAGAGAAACGTCATATATAGCGATTTGTTTCTGCAGAGAAACTCATTAAAAAAATAAATGAAAGCGGAGTTTTGTAAGCATTTTATTTTTTCCTAGGACCCCCAAAAAAAAAAAACCCCAAACAAAACAAGACTACGGTTAAAATCTAGATCAGTTTATCAACTACGCCCCTTTATCATCTTCAATATTTTAATACATTGCAATCCAACAACTCAATTTTCTTTATTATTTACATCCCTTTAATAGTTCCTCTTTCCTTTTTCTCTTCCCGGCTTCACTATTTTTTCGTTCAACCTTCTTTTCATCTTTTTCTCTTAATAACATCTTCGTTATTTGCTTCAACAATCATTTTTTTTTCTCTCTTTTTTTATAATATCATTTTCTTTCAGAGGTTTTTTAAAAAACCTTTTCTCTTTAAAACAACTTTTTACTTTCAATTTTCTGATCTCTTCTAAACGATAATCTCCAATTGTATTTCCTCTTTTTTTTTATCTTCAGGCGAAGATTTTTCCCCTAAAATCTTATTTTCTTCTTTTCTATTCAAGAAGATTTTTTTCTTTCCAATATCCATTTCTCTGTTCTTGTCATAACGTCATTTTTATTCCAATCTTCGTTTTTGACCTTTTTCTTCATAAAAATATTTCCTTCAATCTTTTCTCTTTTGAACAATAAATAAAATAAAAATATTTTCTTCAATCTTTTCTCTTTTGAACAATAAACAAAATAAAAATATTTTCTTCAATCTTTTCTCTTTTGAACAATAAATAAAATAAAAATATTTTCTTCAATCTTTTCTCTTTTTTTGAACAATAAATAAAATAAAAAATTTCCTTCAATCTTTTCTCTTTTGAACAATAAATAAAATAAAAATATTTCCTTCAATCTTTTCTCTTTTGAACAATAAATAAAATAAAAATATTTTCTTCAATCTTTTCTCTTTTGAACAATAAATAAAATAAAAATATTTTCTTCAATCTTTTCTCTTTTGAACAATAAATAAAATAAAAATATTTCCTTCAATCTTTTCTCTTTTGAACAATATTTTCCTAATAACGTTTTCTTTTCTTATTCTTCGTAGCATCTTTTTTTATTTTACATTTATAATAAAATGTTTAAATGCTTTTTCTCTTCTTCCTTGTCATACTTTTTTTTCTACAATTTTATTTTTCCTTCTTTCTATTCAAAACGATTTTTCAAGCAATTTTATTTTTCCTTCTTTCTATTCAAAACGATTCTTTCCTTTTTTTTTATAATAATTTTTATCCTTTAGGTTTATTCTTCTCATTTTTTTATAATTTTTCAGAGTAATTTCCCTGCCCCAATATTAGTTTCTTTGTATACAAAAAGACAAGATTTTATTCCATTTTTTTATTTATAATTTTTTTCAAATATTCTTTTCTAATCTTTATAAAAAATATTTTTTTTGTCTTTTCTTAACGAGATTTTTTCCTTCAATCATCTTCTCTCAACTATCTCTTTAAAACAACATTTTTTTTACACCTTTCTTTTCTTTTCATATCAACATTTTATCTTTACATTTCTAACATTCTTCATTCAATTTTTTCTTCTTTCTCTCCGTACTAATTTTTACACTTGAAGTTGCTTTTCTCAAATTTCTCTTCTCAATTTCTAAATTGTATCGTTAAAACAACATTTCTCATTGCTCATTGCTTTTTTTTTTTTTTTTCGTAACAGAAAACTTTTCGCTTCATTCTTTTCTGATCATGATGATTCTTTCAATCTTCTATTTCTTGGGCTGGAACGTATTTTTTTTAATAAGTGATGCTTGAACACGTGCGATTTCGTTTCACTCGAGACTGGAAGTAATCACACACACACACACACACACACACACACACACACACACACACACACACACATACATATATATATGACATAAGCTCTTGAAAATATTATCGATTGAGCACTTTTGAGAGATAGGCTGATTCTATAAACAACAACTACCTGCGCTAATGCAAAGCTCTTCAGTAAAATGATTGGGGCACTAGGACTGATTGGCGTTTGTTTACAAACAATACGCTAGTATTAACTGTTTCTCTCTGCCGAGTGACGATGGCGTAGGAGTAGAAACTCTGACTGATACCAAATCGGTAGGGTTTCTGTTCTGGCTTGAGGCATTCGGATGTCTAGTCGCACTGAGGAGCTGTGATAAAACGAAACCGTACTGTCTGCGAATGATAAATATTATATATATATATATATAT